TAGTTAGCTAAGTTCCGCCGGATATCCGGCTATTCGGTCATGTGGTTGACCGAATATCCGGTATCTGATATCCAGCCAAACTGGCATCAGTTTCATCTCTAATACCAATACCTTCCCCACTTTTAAACGGTACCTTATAAGTGACAATCCTGAACGGCTACAAATCCCTGCCTCAGTCATAATGTGTTAACACTGACCTCACATTTCCGATAGTAGCCGTACGACCCGTGCCGACGTCTTATTGGCGCATAGGTTGCAACGCCCCGCCCTTTTTGGAAATGCGCCAATCAAACGGCGGCGTTCTAACGGTTCGTCCGGATTTACACATTTGAATGTAAACTCAGTCTAAGGCCTTCACACATTATTATACGCGTATTTCTAGAGAACCCACCATTGAGCTAATCGAACGAGAATCGTCGGCACGAATCGTCCGATTGATTCTAATGTGTAACCGCCTTTAGACTACGTCCGTAACCAACATTGAACGAGTCGAACGAAATCACTTTTATTTTTTAAATATCACGCATTTAGGTGGTTAATGGGTTAAACAAAATAAAATTGAGCAAATTATTATTTAATAAAACTACATTATTAATTATTATAATATATATCCGAGCTTTTTCAGGGTACTTAATTTATTTGAATTTGGAACACATTTTTGTATAAGCGTCTACACACGACCGTAACGACCGTGTGGTACGAACAGTGTATGTGTGTGGGCGTAAATAATTTTTTTCTGATTTACACACGAACGGACCAAGAAAACGATCTCATTCCGCTCTCCACAGTTACTTAGATGTCGCCACCGATTTTAGGGTTGTGTGTAGATGCTTTAAGAGGTAAATAGGGTGGGCTAAGTTACAAATGTATAACGCCATATATTATGAATGGAAAAGTTAACAATATTACATAAATTAATATTATTTGTATTTAAATTTATAAACACAATATGTTCAATACAATTCATCTACATTGCAATTACATATTTAACGATTTTCTAAACAAATTACAAGTATTTAATAGATTTATATCATTTTTCTTAAATCTGCTACCATTTGGAAGCGTAGTGCCGACTGTTCGGCGGCGTAATTACGACTTAATAGTGAATATTAGGCTTCCAAGCTATACCCAAACTCCTAATGATACCTCGTTTATAGGTTAAACACGAGTCGCAATATGGGTGTAGATCTAATAACTATCGGAATTTGATCACCAATAGAGAAGGCCGTAACTCTTTAAGTAGCGGTGGTCAGTATGGAAAGTTGCGTTTACGTTGCAATGCTATTGCATCAATAGAATCGCCTTACTGACAGATAACGTCATTTTCATTACATCACATATCAAAATCGTTGCGTTTAAAGCTAGATAAATAGCCCACAGGTTTCCACACTGAATATTTGTGGTCTCCCACTGGTATGTTAGCGGAATTTACCAAATTAATACAAATCCATTAAATACTGAAATAGATTTCTGCAAAATAACAGTTAATTCGATATAAATTACAATTATTAAACTTCTCCATTGTCATAATAAACAAAAATTGGCATGACATTTAAAGAATTTGAGAATTTCTTTACTATGCTCGCCAAATTAAAACAGGATTTCTGTAAAGATATAAATATATTTAATTTGTAAGCACCTTATTTAAAAAATTCAAACATCTAATAAAGCTATTTTAATCATTCAACTGTTTGTCTCTATCTTTTGCACTACTTTCCTTATTTACAAGAGAGAGACAAAACACTGTACTCAAAATAGATTTGTGGTTTTATAATTAATAATATTACTATATAATTATAAATGAAATTACCATGATTATAAATTTTACTCGTTATACATATAATTTGGCGAATGCAGTAACGAAATTTATATGTATTAAAAAAAAACATTTGAGATGCACAGGAAAAACAAAAACTGCCACGATTTAATATGAATTTACTAGTTTACCTTAAAGATTAATTTGTGCTTGTATTTTGTTAAATTATTTTGTGGCATCCCAAACATTTTTTTCCTTATTGCAATACCCTGTCAATTTGTCATGATACAGAAATGGCCAACGCTCAAAGTGTGGTCAATTCGCGTAATAATTTGTTTTCAGTCAACAGTTATTAAACTAAATATACAAATATATTGAGTTAACATTCTCATATATAAACTTCACTATTTTTGACCCGGGATAAACTCTGTAACTACTTCTTCTAGAGCTACCCATGTAGACGACCTTCGTAAGTATAATGTTCCCTATTCGTGCGAAACAAGGACGGGTGGCCAGTATTTGTATATAATATAATATAAAATACAGATCTTATATACTTTTTTTTACCAACGTATACTGTAAAAACTCGTCTGCGTGAGACTGAGGTACAGTCTCACCTATTTCAGCCTCCAAACAGCTTGCTTTGTAAGCTGTTTCGGTTGTAGGGTGCAGATTTGTCAGTGAAATTACAGGATGGCAACCGTCGCTGATATAAATGAACAGCACTACGGATATCACGTTATCATATACCACCCATTACATTAATCATGACTTGCCATTCTAAAGAACTTATTTTGTTGCGTCTTTTCCTGTAATTTCACTACCTAATCTGCACCATACAATCAAAACAGCTTACAAAGCAAGCTGCTTGCCGGCTGTTATACGTAAAACTAAGATACTATCGCAGACGACTTTTTACAGTCTACCTCTGGTTTAAAATTGCATGTAATTTGTTAATACAAACTTAATATTCAAATAATTATTTATATCATAATATCAATTCAGCCAAAGAGAATAAGCAAGATATTTATCTCCTCTTCCTAAACAAATTATACAATACGCGAAGTGACCACACTTGGGACTTTGATTATTGAAGGTGATGTCAGATCTATAGTCTAATAGATGGCATATTAATGATTTTCCACATAATTTCAACATATCCGAATATACACATATTTATTACGAGTATACAGGGTGCTGCTGAATTATCTCAATTCCTTTCTTCAGGGTATAGTGTTAGTTATACATTTAATATTCGAAAGAGCTTAAATATAAGTTTTAATAAGGGAAATTCCTGTCTTGGTAGGCTTAAAATAAAAAAAAAAACATATTCCACTAACTCGTCTTTTTCTTCCATATATAAATACGTCTCCATATAGACACTAAGACAATTTATTATGCTTTATATTATAGTATATTTATAAAAGCATACCGTGATTGAAGCGGCAACATCTATTTTTAATTTATACAAAAATGAATACAATTTGCATGTATTAAAGCTGTTATTTGTATAACTTAAAAAATTGATTATACCATGTACGCTGTAGCACGGTGGGGGTGATAGTTTCATTAACGTTTCGTTTTACTCTTAAAAGTTGCAGCGATCTGCAAATTGTGACTTAGTATTTCAGCTGTACCACATTCGTAATATATTAGATCTAAATATATATAACTCAAAGGTGACTGACATAGTGATCTATCAACTCACAGCCGAAACCACCGGTCGGATCGGGCTGAAATTTGCCAGATGTTATGACGTAGGCATCCGCTAAGAATTTAGATTACTTCTACCCCCCAGGGGATAAAATAGGGGATGAAAGTGTGTATGAAACTTTGTCAATTTTAAACCGATCGGGCTGAGATTTTGCATTCATAAAGCTACTACGACATAGGCATCCCCATAGAAAGGATTTTGATAAATTCCACCCCTAAGGGGATAAATTATAAATTAATTAATAACTGTATTAACTTAAATGTAGCAATTGTTAAATGTAAAATTAGTAACTGTCATACAGCGCACACAGTATGGGGATACGAAATACCATCATTATCATAATTTAGGTATTTGAATATACTACTGTACAAAAGAAAGGGATGTAGATAAATTGGTAGCACCCTATATTAATGAGAATTCCTCATTACGTGTGAGGAACGAACAATTTTAAGTCTAAAAAGATTCACTTAATAATAAATTTTACTGACTAAAACAATAATTTGGGAAATGGACTTTAAAGTTCTAACTTTAAAGTCTATATCCCAAAATCTTTTTCAGTTAAGACAGTTGTTTATTAAACGTACGATATAATGAAGTTATATTCCAGGTGTGCGAACTTGTCTTTTTTTATTTTCTATACACTTTATAAGGGGTCTATTCATTATGTCACATGTGAAAAGGTGGGAAGAGGAGGTTGACGGAGTGTGACGAAGTGTGACAATGTTTGACAATGGGTGGGAGGAGTCATGACTTTTCTGACTTCACATCTTTACATATAAAAATTACATGTCACGTTTGTCCGCCAGTGCATCTTTGGGGCTCCAAAATACTTGAAACTGTGACGTATTTATGGACTTCAACCACATTATACAGAATAACTCAAAAACTACTGGTCATATCTTAAACAATATAATGCAAAATGAGAATGAGAAGCACCAACTTTAGATAAACAAATAAAAAACAGTCATCGAAATCGGTACACAAAAAAAGTTTAGATAACCTAAAAAAGACACTTGATTATGAACTTTCTCTAAATGGTTTGAAAAAAGTGTACCAGTTGTGTTATATGCCAGCTCTTCTGAATTGAAGTGGCTAGAAGAACTGCCGTCCAGTTCGACTAGCTTCAGTTGAGAAGAACTGGCAAGAAACACAACTAGAGATAGTGACCAAAAATACATATATATGTGACACAAATTGATGAATAAATGATTATGACTTTGAATAATTCAATATATTAATGTAATGACCCGTTTATTCGAGTTACCAATGTATTGAAATCAATATATTAGTAAATCTCCAAAATACCTTAATTTTGACGGCCTCGGTGCTCTAGCGGTTCAGAACACCGCCTTACTTCTGATGCTCGCGGGTTCGATTCCTCCGGCACAAACATTTGTATTCATGACTATGATTGTTTGTATCGGTCTGAGTGTTCTTTATATATAATATGTATGTATTTACGAAAAAATGTATTTCTATCAGTTGTCTAGTGCCCATAACACAAGCTTTAGCTAGCTTAACTTAAATTATCCTGAGATTATTATTATACCTTACCAGATACAGTCGAATTCCTGGGATATAGCTTCATGTATATCACTTTGCACTAAAACGACCACTCTACGCTAGCACTTGCAAATTTTACTATAAAAATGTCCATATCCAGATTACATTAGGTTGGACCGATGCTTTCGAGATATTACGACATACCTCACTGATGGATTGCTGATATTTATTAATTAATTAATTTTGGAGTTTATTAAAATAATATTCCTAACGATTATTTTAATATTTTTCAAACTATAGTCATTTTTTTAACGAAATTTATGACTGTATTGTTTTAAATAAGGAACAAATTTAATTTCATAATTAGATGCAAGTAATCAAATCGTCCAACAGTGGGGTTACCAAATGCCACCAAATATCGGCCACCTAACAATTCAAGATCTGAAATCCCACGGGATTGAATTCACTAACTATTATAGTCTTTGTCGCACCGGTCGTCGTGATCCCAGTATTTGTTATTCCGCGGGACGTCGCTGACGTGTCTCCGCATTGGAGTCTTGGCTCCGCTTGTTGAATTTGCGTCACTTTCACCACTATTCCGCCGGGCCGTTCTATTCCCGGGCTTAGAATCCCGGGAGTCCCGGGAACTCCGCGACGTTGATCTCGGGAATTTCTCTGGGTCCTTAACCTTTTCTTTGTCCTCCTCGTCGTTAACATTGTCTTTGGACTGATGTCGAGTCCAGTTCCGCGCTCTGTTCCTGTTGGAATCTTCTTTGAGATCACTCTTCTCTCTTCTCCAGTTCTCCACCGGTTTTCTTTGTGAGTTCTTCTGCATTTCATTGTTAATTCTATCGGGTACACTAGGCGGTCTCTCGTTCTGGTATTGAACGTATGCGTCTCCTTGAGGTGTGAAGTTTTGGGGCGAGGAGTACTGATTCTGTATGTACGTCCCATCTCCTTGTTGCAAGTAATTAACATTTTCAGGGTAAAACAGGTTCGGGGGTGGGTAATCTGGCACTGTTGGAAAATTTGGTGGTAGAACTGTTGGATTGAAGACTTCTTCCTCCTTCTCCTCTTCAGTCTGTCTCCAAGAATTCAGATCATATCGTTTTGATAGAGTATTCTTTGCTGTCCACGTTTCGAAGTTATCCTGACTGACTGACAACGCTTGTTCCTGTCTCAACAAGCCAGCACCTGCCCCTAATATAGGTCTCAACTTGGGTTTCGCATCGTCTTCACTGTTGAGACTAATTTGTGAGAGATTCCCAATCTTCTCTGTGAAACTCTCCGTGCTGACATCCGACGTGTTATCCTTCTCTGGACTCTTCTTCCACGATCCGTAGCTGACTTCAGAGTAGTTCTCATCGGTGGTCAATTCTAGGTGTGATGCGTAGAACTGTTGCAGGGTGTTCGGTAGGGGTAGGAATTTGTTTAAACAGAGGTCTGCTGATAGGAGCAGCCATATGATGCTGACGGGCGGCGGGGTGAGGAGTCGGAGACGTATTGATATTGATAAGTCGTCCAACTCCTGAGCTGTATGCTGTGAGAGCAGCTCACGGCCGTTTTGCATTAGCTGGAAAGAAGTAAATTACATTATTATAATAATATCGTTGGAAACACGCAGCGCCGTCTAGTCCGAAGCTAAGCAGAGCTTGTATTATGGATTCTAGGTAACTTATATAAATATTACTCGTGCACATAAATAATTTTACTGTTTGTACTGTGCCAGTAATCGAACCCGCGACCATTGAATTTAATCCGGTGTGCTAAACCGCTAGACCACCGAAGCCGTCGATTGTATATTACATACTATCTGCACCCGCGACTTCGTCCGCGTGGAATTTAACTTTATTTTTCTAAAATAAAAGTAGCCTAAGTTACTCCTTATTACATCAGCTACCTGCCAATAAAAGTCCCGTCAAAATCGGTCCAGCCATTTCAGAGATTAGCCAGAACAAACAGAGAGACTGACAAAAATGGTAAAAAATGTTATATTGGTGTATGTACCGTATTTATATTCATATGCATGTAGTAAAAAACGTTTATTTCAATATTACAAACAGACACTCCAATTTTATTTATATGTGTAGTTTATTGTAATCCGTGTGAACGTGATCACGTCTATTCGTGAATGAGTGCTGCTAGCTGGGATTGGTTAGGTTGTTGATTCAATTATTATGTATTGTTCAGAAATAATTATTTATTTAGTAGTCATTGAAAAAAAAATTAATAATATACAATCTCATCTCACCAATACATTATCACAAATTTTACCGAGATAGACTTTCTATAAAGTGGGCTGCTCTCTAATTTATTTCAAGCGCCTAACGTCACCCTTTCTAAACTACTGGTGCCCCACCAGCGTAAACCGTTAGCGCAGGCGGGTATACCATTCCATTATCATCCATAAAAAAAATTTAACTGGAGGTAAAAGGGATTGTTAGTAATGTGGATTGATGATCATATGGCTATCAATGTACCATGTCAGGTGTTGCGGGTGAATAATACAATGTTGTTGGTCGAGACGATGTATATTACAGATATTGATAAACTGACAATATGTACATAGAAATAATGATCTTATATACTAAATAAAAATAGGAATGTGTAAGGTGGGGTGACACAGTTTAGATACAGCAGTGCCTAGTAGACAATATTGAATTTGTCTTACTAGACATTATTAAATGCAATTATTATTTTATGTATCTAGGTGACTGTGTCCCATATCAGGTTTACCTCCACGGGTCCCCTTAGAAACTTAGATAAATTCTTTGTGAATTTATCACGATGGGCTAACGGACCTGACTGGTGCCCCGCCAACGTAAATCGTTAGCGGATGTACCATTCCATTATCATCCATAAAAAAAATTAAACTGGAGGGAAAGGGGATTGTTGGTAATGTGGATTGATGATCATATTGCCATCAATGTACCATGTCAGGTTTACCTCCACGGGTCCCCTTGGAAACCATCGTGATAAATTCTTGGTGAATTTGTCACGATGAGCTAACTGACCTGACTGGTGCCATTTCATTATCATCCATTAAAAAAAACCTTTGTAAGCTTGTTTTAGTTGAAGGGAGGTTAAGGTAAGAGTATGAAGAAGGTACCTGTGTAGCCAGACTGCGGTGTGCTCGAAGGTCGTCTGAAGCGAGAAGTGCCCGTAGGTACTGGAGCAGTGGCGCCGCCAGGATATGAACCTTGTGTCCATTACACAGCCGCGCCTCTGTAAGCCATCAACATGTAACATAATCCATAGATTCCATAATGTACAATTATTTTAATCTTATATCTATACTTAATCTTATTATTAATATTATAAATGTGAAAGTTTGTAAGTATGCATGTTTGTTACTGTTTTACGCAAAAACTACTGAACGGATTTTGTTGAATCTTTACAGTAATATAGCTTACATTATCAGAATAACATATAGGCTGTATTTTTTATTGAAATTTAACGCGAATGAAACCGCGGGCATAGCTAGTTTTATAAGATATCTCATATTTCAGTGTGACGTGGCATAGAGACCTCTTCCAGCGACTTCCATTGATTTCTATCCTGTGGAATAGTGTCAGTGTATATACATATTATACTACAGGAAAGCAGGGAAATACAAAGATTTGTAATAACCCTAGTGCGAAGCCGGGTCGGATCGCTAGTAATATATGTTAGAGTTCACATCAACATTGTAGAAAAATCTGATATTTTAAAAAGATATTAAAAGAAGGTAGTTTGTTTGTAGTACTAATGAAGTACAAGTAAAGATTGTTACAAATATTGTAAATAGCGCCATTTAGTGTTTATAGACCCACCTACTACACTGACTTTGGTCTATAAATATGGAGGTCGGTAGTTGAATAATCCTCTTTCGTTGCGTGAGCCGCGGCATTCAGTCGACGAGCGCAGAGCGTGCCGGTTGTGTTTCGGATACTAAAGTGAATTGCATTAGCAATGGGTTTATCCCGGTCTTAGTTGGGCCTGGGGGGAAGCTGCAAGTAGTGAAGGTGAGTGTTAATGCATTCTAAAAGGGCCTTTTAAACCTACACCCGTGTCACAAGTCACGGGCGCTATTTAAGGTTTTCCTTGCGGTAGCCGGCTTCAAAGCCTAAGTCGTCATCTTTATTAGTGGATCTTACAATCGTCACGAAGAATAGAATAGAATAGAATAGAATAGAAAATCATTTATTCAAATAAACTTAATTTAAGCACTTTTGAATAGTCAACATTTTTTTAAATCTACCGCTTATTCGGAAAGCTGTCTTATCACAAGACGAATAAGCAAGAAACAATGTGTTGCTCTTGTAAACAATCCTTGTTCACATTTTACAAGTCGAAACGTGTGAATACAAACTACCAACCAGCACTAATTTATTTAGGGTCAAATATAAAAACACAATAAGATTAAATCAGTCGTAGTGATAAGAGCAGACCAGTCCCTACAAGCAGCACTCGTTCACGAGTATGACGGATGAGCCAGCCATCACTGCGCTCGACCATATTTTAGGGAGCCCAATGACCCGGCCCACCACGCCACCACATGTCTGGACATTTTAGTGAGCATGACTACTCATTCCACTCGACCACGTCACAGCTACAAAAATTACTATATGGTAGTTAGAGTATTCGCACTTTATGAGGATGCATGCGGCAATCAATACAAAAGCCGCTACGCTATCATATATCAAGACAGCAGTATGAAAATAAATTATAACGTTGTCCGCAAATAAACTTATACTTGCTATATATTGCTATCATCTATAAATTCATCCATCCTTCGAAGATTCGTCCGGTATCAATAAACCCGATCTTACATATATAAATAAATATATATTGATATTGTTTTACCGTATTTATTAACGGACTGTTATGTCAACATTTTAATAAATATTTTCTTTATTACAAAACATTTATTTATTTATTCTTTTGCACACAATAATGTATACAAGGCGGACTTAATGCCTGATGGCATTCTCTACCAGTCAACAGTCGCGTTGATCAGAGATAATAATAAGGCGGTGCAATTTAACAATTAAACAAATATGGATAAATACGGAAAAATAATATTATATATATTATTCTATGCAAATATATAACATACTAATATACCCGCATAAAATACATATACAATTACATAAATAAACAAAAACTAAAGCCTATTGATTACATACAAAATAATACATATATATGTATATATATACACACATACATATAATAAAATTATATTAAAATTGCATATATTAAAAGTTTGGCTGAATACTCTAACTCTACAGAAATTTTGAATAATGTTCACGCAATGATCTCTTCAAGGAGAATTTGGATTGACATTGTTATATGAAAAATATTTTAGACTATCAAGTATGTGATAACTTACCCGCAAAGTAATCTCCCATGAGGTTAGCAGCATTTATTAAAAACATAGGGTTAGCTTTCTCTAGTACATCCAATTCTGAAACAAATTACTAATATTACCATACAGTATATTATATATTATTATTAAGACAAAACTACATTCCCCTTTGATCCATCCTCAATCTAATTCAAACGAGGATCGAAATTATGACGGCCTGAGTCGAGGTTCGAACCCCTAGCGGGTGCCCTCAGATTAAAGTCGTATCCGTCAGGCGGGAGTTGGCCTTCAGCCGCTCCATAAGTCCTTCCTTTGGAGTGCTATCTGCACTCGCCCCCTATCGTTGCGCGAAGCTGTAAAGGCCAGCTGCGGCCAACAGCATTAGGGTAGTCAAAAATGGTTTCTGAGCCATATTTTTTTGACGTGTCTGTCAGAAAACGTTTCAAGTAACGAGTACATTCGACGCGAAGTCGTAACGTGGACTGACTTTACACTGAACTTAAATCTGTGTCATCTGGAGAGGTACTAATTGAAGGATCTCGAGTGTTGACAGAAATATTACAAGTGTAGGGACAACATTATAAATGCGAAAGTAACTCTGTCTATCTGTCTCGCTTTCACGCCAAAACTACTGAGCCGATTTAAATGAAATTTGGTACACAGATAGTCCAGATACCGAGAAAGGACATAAGTTAGTTTTTAATGCGAAAAAGAGTTATAAGGGGTTGAAAGAGGAAATGGATGGTTGTATCGAACTAATGTTATTTTTAAAGGTTGGAACTTATTTTTTAGGCTGTATATAAATAAAGAAATATAGAATGGATGTAAAGGGAGGGGACGCCCTAAGAAAAGATGGATAGATTGTGTGAAAGGTGATATGAATAAAAGAAGAGCATGTTTAGATATGACGACCGATAGAGAGCAGTGGAAGAGAATGACATACTGCGCCGACCCCAAATAATGGGATAAAGGCAAGGTAATGATAAATAAAGAAATAGGGTTGTAAGGTATTGAAAGGTTGTATAGCAGTATCGTCATTTTCAAAGCTAGAAGCTAGAAACTTATTTTTTAGGCTTATGATTGAGTTGTATAGAATTCTATACAGATTTTTAAAGCTAGAATGATGAAACTTTACTAAACATTTTTTCATTATTTGGTAAAGGTCATTACGCGGACGAAGTCGCAGGTACAGTTAAATAATAAAGATGAAGAGGCAACTTAGCATAAAGTATATATGGACCCTAAGGTACTAACTGGAGAAGGTGCCCTGCATGACCACGTTGAGAAGTGCTGCCCGTAGTAGCTGCTGACGTTGCTGCCGTGTGAATGAGGCTCCGACGGCGGCCAGCTTGCGGGCAGTACTCGGATGCCGTAGGGCTGCGGCACGGAAGGCTCCGAATGCTTGTCTATAACAAAACAGTACCATGTTTAGGCCACGAATATATCGACTTCAAACACTTCTTAATACATCTACGAAAATATCATGTATACCAGGAAAAAACATTGACAGTTTGAAAAAGGTAGGTTATTACACTAATAAAAGCTTACACAATACTAGCGCCAGCCCCTTCCTGCGACTTTGTCGGGGTGGAATTTAACTTTATTTTTCTACAATAAAACTAGCCTCAGTTACTTCTTATTACATCAGGTACCTGCCAAAAGTCCCGTCAAAATCGGTCCAGCCTTTTCAGAGATTAGCCGGAACAAACGAACAGATAAAAATGGTAAAAAAAAATATTTTGGTGTATGTACCATATTTATATTCATATGCATGTAGTAAAAAACGGTTATTTCAATATTACAAACAGACACTCCAATTTTATTTATATGTATAGATAAACAAATTGGTTTATCTATACATATAAATACTTTAGTAATTCGTTTCATGGAAACTACTTAAGATTTTGCAACAAACTGCCAGAGTCTGTACTCAATTTGCCAGAAAAAAGCAAAACACTTCAGCAGCAAAATCGAAATGTATCTTGCAAGTGGGAGACCGTTAATCCAGAACATATTTGATTAAAAAAAAAAACTTTGAACAATAATTTGCACATATTTTTCAGTCTGAGGTTTGATCCTTCGGTCTGTTGCTGACTGCCACTATACCGTCAAGGTAATAAAAAATACTGTACTTACTGTAGGCTAGCTTCATCTGGACACATTTTGGTTACTGTGGCTTCAAAAGTTTTTAATTTCCTATTGAACTGTATACCATCTTCGCCCGGTGAAAACTGCTCCAACTGGAAGAGATTAAACAATATTGAGATACCTTCACGGTTGTAATCCAAGAGGGGGCTTCTGACTTAACAATTTTTTAATTCATTCATACATAATTTAACAGCTACGCTCTTGGCGGTGGAGCTCTTGCCACTTTCCGCGATCTTCCATCATGCTCTTTAATTCTTGATACGACACGACTCCCATTTTGTCCTCAATTTGTTTGATGTAGCTATTCCTTGGTCTTCCCCTCCCCCTCTTTCCTTCTATTTTCCCCTCAATAATAATTTTCATGAAATCATCGTGCCGTATCAAGTGCCCTAACATATTTCCTCGTCTATTTTCTATTGTGTTCAATATCTGCCTTTTTTCTTTTACCCTGTGTAGTACTTCTTCGTTTCTTACTTTATCCTTCCAACTAATTCTTTCCATCCTTCTCCAACACCAACAACCAGTAACAAATTTTTACAATAATAAAAAAAAGTACAATCTTCATCATCACCATTTCTTTTATAGTTGTCATTGTTTGGTGATTCACACGCAAGTCTGTCATGAATAAAGATATTTTGAATTTAAATATGTTTTGATACAAATTCACGAGATAATCTGTTTTTTTTTTAAACTTTCTTGTCTAATACAAATTATTTATATTGTTAACAGGGTCATAACACATATAATTTTATGATAAACCAAGGTTTACCTTTCTCGACATTTCGACTAGGTTGCACTAACCATGGTCACGAGCTGACTACTACCATTATTTACCATAAAACGATTCATGTTAAGAACCATTTAACTACAAAACAAATAGATGGCCTTTCGGTTTAAATCTAGGCAGTTAAATAGGCTAGGAATATATTAAAGTAAATAATAAACATTATTAGAACTAGACTGTTCTGTTTTTATTTAAACCAAAACAATATTTTTTTTTGATATCTTGAAATTTCTAAAGAAGAGGGTGAGTGTAGAAGAGATATATTGTATTGTATTTTGGACTCTCTTTCCGCATATAGCCTCTTATCTGGACCACTAGAGTAGCCAGCCAAGCTCCTTTCAGTAGCGCAGAGGTCTGGTGTACCCACAGGCGTCACGCAGCGACCTTACTATTCCGAGAATTTAATGTGTTAAATAAAAATGAACTATTTACCAATGTCAACAAGGGTGTATATTGCTCATCAATCGTCAGCAATTCTTTTAGTGCATCATCGTCGGTTGTTGCAACTTTTTCTGGTTCTTTTTCTTTCTCTGGATCCACTTCTAGCACTTTCTCTGGCTTTTCTCGGGACTCTGTTGATTTATTAATATATTCATTATTACATAATATAAAATACATCGCTGTCGCTGTCTGTCCCTATATATGCTTAATTATTTAAAACTACGCAACGGACTTTGAAGCGGTTTTTTTTATTAGATAGTGATTCTAGAGGAAGGTTTATATGTACTATACATGTTCACCCCTGCGAAGCCAGGGCGAGTAGCTAGTATATAAATATAAAATATGTCAATTCAAAAGTGCTTGTAATGAGTTTATTTGAATAAAGATTATTTCTATTTCAGTTGAAATTCTTGCCAGTTCTCAATTGAATCTGTATACTGAATAGGACGCAGGCAAAAAGTATTAACATATAAAACTTGACGTTCATAAGCGGCTAAAATGTTCTACATGAATATATGATTTTAGATTTGATTTCACTAAGGTATCATGCCACAATACTGTAATGCTACTGTCACTTCAACTGTCCAAATGTCACTACTTGATAGGAACAACTGGTACTACAAGCAGGGGCCGATCTCATACAGCGGCTGTGTGCGAAACCTATACTAAAAGTTGATGTTGCTATTTGCTATAGTTTATGCTATTGAAATTTAATCTATACATCTATACACATGAATAAAATTGGAGTGTCTGTTTGTAATATTGAAATAAGTTTTTTACTACATGCATATGAATATAAATACGATACATACACCAAAATAATATTTTTTTACAATTTTTGTCTGTCTGTCTGTTTGTTCCTGCTAATCTTAGAAATGGCTGTACCGATTTTGACGGGACTTTTTTTTGGCAGGTAACTGATGTAATAAGGAGTAACTTAGGGTACTATTATTTTAGAAAAATAAGTTAATGTCCACGCGGACTAAGCGAGTACAGCTAGTTTTTGCTACATTTGTTCGGTTCAACTAAAAAAAAGTTTGATCGTGAGGCCCCTATTGCCTTGGCGCCTGTGTGCGCCGCACACTTCACACACAGGGGCAGTGCGGCCCCGACTACAAACAAAGCGAAAGGCGAGACAGATGTACCCATAAGAATACAAACTATAAAATGCAAAATAAATATAAACTATAAAGATATAATTTATAAAATGCAAAATGCATTAGCTGCCTTTACACGTGCGCTCATTGGCGCGCGAACCGCCTTACACGCGGTAGAGTGTGCGTGTAAATGTGGACAAAGAGAACGAGAGAGACCTGCGCGCAAACTGAGTGCATTCACTCGTACAACAATCGGGCATGCTTTAGCGGCTTTTATTAATAATTGATTATCTTTGCAAAATGGCAGATATTTAATTATGAAGCAAAGACATATTTATTTGTAAAGATTTATTGATCATTTATAAATCGTAAACGTGCCTTTGGAAAATAAAATCTGTGGAATAAAAAATGAAAAAAAAAAAAGTGAAATGATATGAAAATTACGCGCTATCACGCGCGAAAAAGTGAACACAAAAAATAATAAAATTAGGTATGTATTTATGTATATTTATAGGGATGTATATATAAGGAGAGAAGACGAAAGGTGGTAGGTTGCGCTAGAATAGAATGGTAAAAATTAAATCATAATAATAATGGCAAGAATATTATTAATAATAATGACCAATTAGTTATTTAAATAAAAAAAAAACTAAAATAAAATGTGGTCCCTCGCGATTGCACGCGATGTCATTCCCGCCCTTCTGATCGCGCGTGAAAGAACGTGTCGTGTAAAGGCAGCTCATAAAATATTTAAATATTATACCTTTACAACCGTTATCCCAGATGGTGTAGTCAGAAGAATTGTCAACTGTCAACATAGTAGTGAATGCAACATTTGATCCATAAACTACGTCACATGTTGAGGGGGACGGAGAGACACTGTCACACATTGTCATACTGTATCGACCGATAAATGTCACACTTTATCGACCGATAAGGTGTGACATTATGTGATAAAGGGTGGAAGTAGTCCCAAATTTCGGGCCTTTCTTTAATATACTTAATTATACAAAAACGCAATATCAATGTTATTTCTTGTGTTTGGACTATTATTTCGTGCTTAAACCTGTAGCACTGCGAACTGAAGAGGTCTATTCTGCTCATCATTGCCGTCAGGTACAAGAATTGAGAGATATTCTTAGGAGCGATGGTTAATTTTTAATTCAAATTTACCAAAAGTCTTCAAAACATTTCCATTGTATTAGTCTAATATTTAACAAATATTAGACGTCACACTTGGGTGAAGTATGACGAATGTGACCAAGTGTGACGAGAAGGGGACGGGGTCAAAATATCCTGAAATTTATGTGAAATAATTTATGGATGCACCACCACACATAACAATGTTTTCATTATGAACATTTGAATCCAAAGAGGCAGTTTTTATCTGATATATATTACTACTGTCTGTGAGATACATTTGGTTTGTTATGTGTGTCAATCACCAGAGAGTCAGTCAAGAAAATGACTGGGCACATGATTTTTTTAAATTCTAATTCTGTATTCAATATAACTATAGTCGGGATCAGTGTAAATATATTAAAGATCAAATTTAATTTCAGTGTATTATTTTTTCAAATTTCCTTATGGATACTGCTAATTGGCAACCTGTTTTTTTTAAATACAATAGTCCTATCTGATGGCTGTTCTATTATGATGGTGGTATTCCTTTTAAATTTCAGTGTTATTCAGTGTAAATATACTGTGACAAAGGCAAGGAAACAATGATTTAATATAATTTCCATTTGATATAAATTGAGTTGTCTGGAGATTATTGGTTGGAAGAAGCATTCCTGGTGGTAACTGCCCACAGCCTTGAGGAATCACCAGAGAAGAAATCTTACTAATATTATAAAAATGAAAGTAATTATGTGTCTGTCACAATTTCACACTAAAACTACTGAACCGATTTATATTAAATTTGGCACACAGATAGTCCAGACACTAATATAGGACATAGGCTACTTTTTAAATGCCAATAAAGGGTTGAAAGGGTAGATGAAAGATTCTATGGAATTATCGTAATTTATATGGCTAGAAACCTGAAAGGTATTTTTTAGGCTATTGATTAAATACAAACAAATCTGACATTCCAAGTTTGTATAATAAAATAGGGGACTGAAGTTTGTATGGAAATTCTTTGAAGAGATTTTTTTTGGTTAGATTATTAAATATATATTCTTTATTTGGTCAAGGTCCCTAATTCCAGGTCAGTAGAGCTAGATAATAAATGGTCATGATGAGTCTTACCTGTGGAGCGTGGACTGAGCTCTGCTAAAGTTCTGGCAGCGTCGAGATCAGCAAGGTCTGCGTCACCCGGCCTCGGGTCGCGAATGTGGTGCCTTCCGGTGTACCCACGGCCGCGACCAGGGGTCGACATTGTAGTAAACTGTGAAACAACAACCTTTAAAAAAGCTTCTGCCGAAGGGATGACAATGAGTTGATTCTTCATTATTACAAATTCTGCCCATCCCTATGTATGCTTAAATTTTTAAAATTATGCAACAGATTTTGAAGTGTTTTTTTAATAGATAGTGATGCAAGAGGAAGGTTTATATGTATAATACATGTACACTCATGCGAAGCCGGGGCGAGTAGCTAGTCATTACATAGTATAAAATAGTCACTATTGCTGTCTCTCTGACTCTATGTATGCTTAAATCTTTAAAACTATACAATGGATTTTGAAGAGGTTTTTTTAATAGATAGAAAGATTCAAGAGGAAGGTTTATATGGCTCAAAATCACCAAGGTGGAGAATTAGCTTTATCAGCAAATAAAAGTCTAAATTTGGTGTTTTTAAACAAATTGATATTGTAAATATTACTTAACTATGTTCATATTAACTGTACCTAATATTTTTTACTGAAAAAGTAAAGCACATTTATTAATATTTAAAGAAATAACTTCAAAAATCATTTCGGGAACGCGTCCCAAGTACCAATCTTCAAAAACTAACGTTGAAAATATTAATAAAATAAAATAAGTTTTAAATGTTTTTCTTACTCAATGGCCTACAATTTTATCATAAATCAATTAATTATTGTTATTACTAAAGAAAGAAACGAAATTAAAGAAAATTAAGTCAATATATTGTGTCCCGCAGTGTAAGCATCATTTCAGTGAACGTAATTTTGATTCTCAATAAAAATTTTGTTTTTTATCGCAACCCTTAGTTTTCTATGGTACAGTGATGTGAACGATGTAAACAAACGGTTGTCGTCTTTCGTTTTTGCCAAAACAATTGAAAATAAGAGGTAAGCATCTTTCAATTCAATATTTATAGAGCGTACATCAATACGTCATCATACCGGGAATGCGTTTCTAAACTTGGGAAATTGAAATATAAGTTTTGTAGTACTTTATAGCAAATAGTAATCTCAAATATTTTACAATAATAAAACCAAACACGATGTCAAAGATTACTGCGATCTAAAAAAGGCACGCTTATTTAAAAAAGTCATTTCGGGAACGGTCATTTCGGGACCGTTTCCGAAGTTGACGGAGGGTTCTCGAAATGATGATGACGTTCCCGAAATGACTTTTTAAATAAACGCACCCTGTTATTATTACTAACGGTTAATCAATTCAGTGTATGTTGTGCTAACATATTGTTTAATATATGTTTAATGTTATTTAGCAATATGGAGTCTCATTTGGCTGAAAAAAATAAAGACACGTCCGAAATAGCAAGTTAATAAGAATAGTTCGGCTTACTTGCGACAATGGGAGAATCCAATGCCAGGAAAAAAATTTTTTTAGATAAGATGAGATAAGAAAGAGAGAGAAATAAAAAGGGCTAAGGATAGAGCCTATTTTTCGAAAAAAAGCTGTAGAGAAAGTTAAAAACATTGAGGAAATCAATGAGAGAGTAAAGCAAAATAAAAAATTGTGAAAGGGGCATTAGAAAAATACAGGGAAGAAAGGAAGGCAATATCAGGTATAGTAAACAATACTTTGCCAGATTGGAATGATGAATTAAATGCAGAACGGTTTTTAGGGAGAAAACAACGGAAAGAAAAATTGTTCGGAAGGATAGAGCCAAATCATAAAATAAAACAACAAGAGAAAACAATTCCTAACATAAAATGTAAATATAAAACTTTAACGAAAAGACTTAGAAGAAAAGAAAAAAAAAAGAACAGGAAATAGTTCAGGTACCAACAACGACTCCTAACAGCAAAGTTGACGCATTGATTTAAAATGTCATAGAACCACCTATCTCTTATTCAACGAAGTACTTACAGCGCAATTAAAAGAAAATGTATTTTATGAAAAAATTCCAAAGAGAGGGAAGGCTTCCAAAAATGTGTTAGCGATAGCAAAGAAATATAAACTGATTCGTATGGCTAAGACTTTTATGCCAAAGAAAGAACCAGTACATTGATTCTGAAGACCGATATCAAAATTCGTGTATATAATGACTAAAAAATAATAAGTATAATGTTTAGATGGTTTGATTTATTTACATTGGAATAAAGATTATTGCCATTGTAATAAAAGTTTAATATGATTATTAAAACTTTCTAATCAGCTGTGTACAGGTTATTAAAAGACTAAAGTGTTTTAAGTTACGGTTTTTGATAATTAGGAACCTTATGCAAAAATGAATCAATAAGTACATGTTCCAAAAACATTGCTCATGATTTTTAACCCTAAATTGTATCTATATCGTCATTTCAGGACGTCACACGCATCATTCCGTGAACACCTCATCCCTTCCGGGAACATCACCAACCTCGCAGATAATACATGATTATTTTAGATATTTTAAAAAAAGCTCTAATAATATTAAAATATGTACGAACTTCTCATACCTAGAGCATGTTAATTAATATACAAGACACATCTATTTCTCATATTTAGATAATTTAGACTAAAAAATAGTCATAATATCACCCATTTGCACAATATTTTGCTTTCTAACGTCTTTATTGGCAATTTCATTAGATTTCTTTAATTTCTATGTATAGGTAACATATATCCGCTATTGAATAAGGAAAAAAATAAATACTTATGTTATATTTTAATATTATTATAAACCTTACAAAAACGTTCCCGTAATGATTTTTTTCAGCGATAGGTCTCTTTAAAAATAAAATTACAAGAGCTGTAATCAATTCCATGCTCTGCCAACGTAAATATTGTTTAAACATAAGTTTATGGATCATTTAGGCTGATCATCAAAGTAATAGCTGCTAGGTAAATTCATCATAAAACAGAACTTGGAATTTGCCACCTTGGTGATTTTGAGCCATATATATAATATATGTACACCATTGCTGGAGTTATGAGGTTGCATTTACATTCTATTGCGAAGCTGAAGGAAGTGTATTGTGATGTAATATGAACTCTATTCTCTGCATTTCACCTCTCATCAAGTATAGTATTTATCTTCATATATAAAAAACTACTACTAAACAAATTGCAAATTTGATTTGCACACTGTGTGCAATCTGCAGCTTACATCTCAATTTATAGTCGCAATATTATTTAACCTTAGACACAGCAACATGTGGTCAACTAGTATATTATTAATTTTAAAGGTTGTAAACTATAGATATTTTAAATATATGATAATGTTGTGGTGTACACAACAACACTTTTTTTTTATTGGAGTTTTTGTTCTGGGCTATTGTCAGGTGCTAAGACCTGTGACACTAAGACCTACATAGATCTATTGTGCTCACCCTTTTTCAGAGTTCGCTACCTAGGCCCTTCAGGGACAAGAATTGAAGGATATTCTTAAGAGCTATGGTTTTTATAGATGTATGGATAAAGTGTATACACATGCACTCCTATGATAGGATGAACATAAAGTCAAGTCACTTAGCCCAATGTGATGAATTTACCAGAAATTAACAATAATGGTTTCAAAAAGGTTTTATTCTAATTAGTGCATGGATAAAATTATTACTCTAACATAAACTACTTGATATATTCAAATAAAATTTGCTCCACAGATAGATCATATCTTAGATACATACAATACTTTTTACCTTCATTTATGCGGATGTCGTGAGATATATCTATTATAAAGTGAGAATATTTCATAAATACAGCATCCTGAACGTTTTTATACAGATAGAATGAGATAGATGCGAACAGGTTAACATCTGTCAGACAGAGACAACACAATGTGTTTCTCCGTAGAGCTTGTTATATTAGGTCAAAATAAATAATGTCACACACAAGCGAGTCACATTCAATATAATAAAACAAGTATAGTTATATTATTATCGTAAAACAACTTTATCTCGTGTGAAAGCTACGCATAAACAAGTTTATATTATTATTAATAATGACAATAAACAAAAATGATGTCGCAATACTTTCCAACATTAAATTACTTTTGAATGAAAACACACAGATAATATATCGAGTTTCATTAATAAGAACATTCTTAATTCAAAATTGAACAATTAAACTATCGGTAATATTATTAACGGATGTTTTTCTTGCCGGCAAAACGATACGGTGACGAATAAAGCACATTTATGTTTTTCTGAATATTACAAAGATTATATCAAAGAATAGAGACAAAAAGATGTTATCAAAAATCTATATTATAATTTACAAGAAATTTACTCACCAAATAAAGAGTTAAATGAAATAGAAACTTATTTATTTCAGTTGTCTATCGTATTGGTTGTCATACGTTTCACTTCCATATTGTTGGGATTAGTGACGCGAATTAAATACATGATACATGTCAGTCACACACTTCAGAATAGACCACAGATAATAACAATCGGAAAACCGATTTTATCGATTGCATTTTCTTGTTTAGAAGGTATATAAAGAATATATATATGTGAAATATATTTGTAATTACTTTATAAATAATAAATATAACTTATTTAAAAAAATAAAACAAAGATTAAGATTTCTCTTTTGTATTTTTTCAGTTCTATACAAAAAAGACTTGAACTTCTATATTTCTTAGCTTAATTTGTTACATTATTTTTCTAAACATTTATAACACTAATAAGAAATCGACAAAAAAATTATTATAAGATTTTACATTTACGAAACTTTATACCGGTTTTCCACGATGTCCTTTATTGAAATCTCTACGGAAAATCCGAATGAACCGATCGAAAAATGACATTTCAGCTTTCAGTTTCAGCATTTCACCGTATCGGGTTGAAGTATGAGGTTTGGGGTTTTCGATTCTGTTCACTGTTGGGTTGTATATTGGAAATTCATATTTTTCGAACAATATTATCTATCCTTATGCTCACAAATGCAACGACAAATGATTGAAATCCCTTAGTTAATATTAGTTTATATTAGGTGAAGTGTTCCTTTTTAGTGAATTATTTCATTGCCACTGCGGTTGTTTGTGCTGCTGTTTTTTAAAATGTATTAATGTAAATTTATTTTTATCATTATAAATATTAGTATTTGATAATACTGATATTTTTAAATATAGTGTAAAGCAACCAAATGTTGTTTTAAATAAATGTTTGGAATATTTCCTTAATCTGATTGCGACGAGGATTTGGAAGAAAAAAATAAAATAAAAAATGTCGGATGGTCATGGGGAACCAAATCAACATCGAAAAGAGAGCGTGGCCGCTGCTAATATTCCAAGCGATAGCCCCGTGACTGACCCAGGGCAGGTGCGAGGCGGGAACACGGAGCCAGCTGCGGGCAAGTTCGATGGACCGCGCGGCAAATCGGGCGCTTTGAAAAAGTCTGCGAGATACAGGAGTAGGTCACTCTCTGCTTCATCTGCGGACTCATACAGCTCTACGTCGTATACAGGTACTTTTTTTTTTTATTAGCAACCGGCTCAATTAGGCTTCGAAATTATGGTACAGATCTATAACTTACTAAAGCAAAAACAGATGCACATGTAAAAAATATCCGTACAGGAATTGTAAGGATAGCTAAAGTACCTGCTGCTTCATGAAATGTTATATAACCATTGGAGATATTAATATTTAAAAAATAAGAACCTCTTTGATTGCTTATAGCATATCTTTCTGTAGATGGAAGTTTTTTTTTTATTAATATAATTTCAATGCATAAAATACCAAAATAAAAGTATATATGGCAGATTTAACACCTTATGGCATTTTCTACCACTCAACCACAGGTTGTGCAGAGAAAAATTGTAGGTGGTGTAAATATAATCAATAATAAAAAAAATATATCATGTAACAACATATACTAAGAGTAAGGTACATGTAAATATGTTTATACAATCTTTATCACTTATAAATAGAAATAAAACTTTCCTTCTTTATCAAATTATCTTTTCTCCGAGGCTTCTGTGACTACAATTGGCCAATTGTAGAAAAGGAGCCTGTATCCTTATGTATTTACAAACTAAATATATCTATCCGTTGTTTAGTACCCATAACACAAGTTCTGCCTAGCTTGGGACTAGATGGAATGTGAATAATAATAATCTTTATTCAAATAAACTCATTACAAGCACTTTTGAATAGTCATATTTTGATTCTACCACTCATTCGGAATGCAGATTCATCACAAGAAGAATGAGCAAGAAACTTGTGTGTTGCTCTTTTTAATAGATGTTGGTTTTTATGGTTTGTTGATAATTGACAAATTCAATAATCAGTGATGTCATAACATAGCCGCGCGCGCACGTCGCACTCAATATCGCAATTATGTCTTAATAGTTGTAATCAACCTGATTTAATATTATTTTTAATTTAAGAACAAGCACATTTATTCAGATGTTGTCATTCATAGTTCCACCAGCCAGTATACAACAATATAGTCCATCGAAGAAGCAGATCATACAATGTCTCTTATTTATTGGACCTTATCTATGTCTGTCACAATAGGAATGTATTTATTTAAAATTTGTTTTAATTTTTTCCTATCTGTTTTGACTCGCCATGTAATATTGAACCTTATTGCGCATGTAATAGGATCTATTCAAATTGCATACCACGGGCACAAATATAACGATACATTATATTTTCGTTAATAATAAGTTTATATTTATGTCGCTTATGAATTGTTCATAACTCGCAGCAATTCTTCAATTTCGCTTTATATCTGTTTGCGTTGTTTCGTTCATTTAATTTCACATTCACCCGCATTATATCGATATTGTTGATCGATCGAAGCTTCTAGAAATATTATAATTGTCGTTATACTATTTGACGAAACAATATTACCTGTCGAATATTATGTATGATGATTGTAGTGTTTGAATGTTAAGATTGTTAGATATTTTTTTATATTCTTGAAATTTGTTGAAAGTCATTGTGTTAATTACCGTAGTCTTTACACAAGAAAGTGAGCAGGGAAAGCACACTATTTAATCTGAATAATTATTGATAAGCAGCGATTTTATTTCTGTTCGTAATAGATATTTTATTTCCTTATAATCGCCGTATAATACGGTGGTTAAAATTTATAGCTGTTTTATACAATACATGTCGGTTATAATTTTAAATGCCCTACGTCCTTTGATTAAGTTATACGTGGTGTATCGACACAGTTATAACAACGTAAGCGTAAAATTTGTAACATAGTTATTTTATATCTTTTGTAATAGTTATAGATACATTATCTATTTTCTATATGACATCACTCACTTCGATTTCGCTTTATGTATAGTTTATTTTCGCATATTTTTTGTAGATGTATGGTCTGATACCTAATTCGCATTGTCCATGATTATTACCGCTTATGCATATATATATAAAAAAATTTGTCACGCACTATTACCAAAACGTTATTGTGATTTACAGCTCGAAATATTTAAAATATTGCTTTTATGCATTATTTTATTTAATCTCGAAATAGGTATATATAGATAATAGTTGCTATTTTTCGCATATTAATTAGTACATAGCATATAACTATATAATTTATGTATGCTAATTTATATCGTCGCATCATTTCTCGCATTTGTGTTTATTTTCGCTACAAGTACATCTTCAATTTGTATATTTAGTACATTAAATACCTATTATAGCTTTATTATTGTTTATCGCTCGCCCTTTTACGGTAGTACAGGTATAGTATGTGGTTATTACCACATAGTTTTATATATCGCATTTATTGGTTTTCCTATGTTATTTTTTAAGAAGTATATATATAAATAATAATAATGGCTAAACAAACATAATTAAAAATGTATGATAAGGCAAAACGTGCACAATATTTTTACCAACATCATTTATGAATTATCTTCGAAAACTAAAATGGAGAAACATCGTAATGTTTTTATTGCAAAATAAATTTTTCGATCAAATGCAAATATGTTAAAATTGTCGATGAAATTATTCTCCTTAATTTGGACTAATTATTATGTAGTTAATATAGTCTCTCACAATTTTGACGAAATGTTTTAAAAAGATGATGGCGCATTATAACCATCAATCTTCGGAACTCCAGCGAAACAGTTTGCTTTACCAGACAACAAACAGTAAATATTGTATTTCTCAGGTGATATTTTCCTTTCTTTTACGAAACATTCAAACAGGTTATTCATGACAATGAATCCTTTTCGGACTCAGAACGTTTTCATTATCTTATGAGTCACCTGTCAGAAGTGTTAAAATCTGTGTGCTGGCTTAATACAATTATCCTATATTGTGGCATTTAATCGACAAGTATCAAGATAAACGCTCTCTTGCAACGTCATATTTAGATAAATTATTTTCTTTAAAATCAATTAACGGTCCTTCGGCAATAAACTTAGAAAAATTTATTGATACTTTCTCGTCGACTATCGCATATTAAAGCAACTTAAAATTGAAAAGCTGGATGATTTTATATTTATTTATATGGGATTAAAGGCATTAGATCAGGCTGCGCAGTCGTATGAGTCATCAATTAGAGGAGAAGATGACATACCGCAGTTTGAAAATTTTATAAAATTTATACGTCAACACGTAAAAACATTACAACGCAGTTTTTGCGTTACTGCCGCCACCAAGTTGGACGGTCCCGCCGCGTCCGCCAGTGGTCGTGCACAGTATCATATCGATCGCTCGATCGCCACGTACATTTTTAGGTACTAATCCTACGCAACGCATTTATTGTTCCTTATTTAAAGTTGATTCACATTCTCAATTATATAAATGCAAACAATTTTCAACTTTCACAATTAATGATCGATTTAATTATATTAAAACTAACCGTATGTGTACTAGATGTCTAAGTAGTCAACATAACTCTTTCAGTTGTCAATCAACTTCCGCCTGTCGAAATTGTAACAATCCGAGACATCATACGTTGCTTTGTTTTAAAAATAATAATTCCGCACCTACGCAAGTATCTCAGGGTACGAAAAACGCACAACATACGCACGGTCGCCAATTACCACCATCTTCTTCGTCGCAATTACCTCCGCTTGCGCACACACAACCCACACAACAGACACGATTAGAACCAACTCCCGTTCCTATTGGAACCACCACTGGTGGAGACAAGGAGTCGTTATGCACGCTTTCATCGTCCATTCATGAGCAGCCGTATGTGACTGAAGTACTTGCTACTGCCAAGGTATTTGCTACTGCTCGTATGGGAGTGATGTTGTCATTCGTTTGCTTATTGGACCCCGGGTCACAAAAGCATTATATTACTTCTATGTTGTTTAAAATTAAAAAAATTAACCATGCAGCCGGACGCACATACCACCGTTAAGGGTATAGGTGGCCCATGAACAGTTAAGGGTGCAGTTGATCTCTCTTTCCGATCGAGATTTAATCATGAGCAATATTATAATATTCGCGCTGTAGTTTTGAATAAAATAACAGGTAACTTACCAACATGTCAAATTGATGTTGGCGCGCTCATTATTATTTTTCCGCTATATATATTATTATATATTGACCTTTTGATTGGTGTCAATCTATTCGCGATTTTTCTAATTATAATTATAAATTCACCTGGTACTCCAAACGCGTTGGAGACTGTTCTCGATCTTATTTTAGGTGAAGCTCCCATAAGCCTTAACTTCTACGTCTTCTTCATTCTCGTTCTGTTCCACCACTTCGTGCGAGGAAAGTATTAATTCGCAAATTTTGGGAGATTGAAGAAGTAGATCGCAAACCAATAACAAGTATAGACGATAAATACTTGAAGATTTTTATACCACAACGACCACTCGTAACGAATCAGGTCACTACGAAGTCGCTAATTTAAGTATAGTTCTAAGTCTTTAGATCTTTCGATATCGCTAAACGCAGATTTTATCATTTGGAACGTAAATTCGCATCAAGCAACTTTTTTATGATGAGGTAATTCACGAATATATAGAAAAACAATATATTTCTCCATAGACGTAATTGAAAATAACAGCCCTAGTTATTTTATACCGCATCAGCCTTACGTGAGGACAAAGTGTCCTGAGGCCGGTACTAGACGCAAGCGCGAAGTCTAGTACTGGATTTTCGACCCTATTCTACATACAGGTCCTTCCTTACAACAGGATTTATTTATTATTCTCTTGAATATGAATTGTTCGCAGTCGCCATCTCAGCTGATGTGCGACAAATGTATTTACTGAATAAAAGTTCGCCCGCAAGATCGTTGTTTTCAACGTATTGTATATAGATTTAGTCCTAATAAACCGCTCCAAGTCTTTGAATTTAATAAAGTTGCATTTGGCTTACGTTGCAGCCCGTACTTAGCGTTACGTACTGTAAAACCCATGTTATAATCCGATGTAAAATGCGCATGAAATAATAATAGAGAGACATATATGTTGATGATGTTGTTAGTTCAGTTAAGAATTAACACAGCGCCATCAGAGCTCACCGCTTTATTTT